AACTCTATTTTCTTTGGCATATCCGATTTGTTATTAAACAAAAAAACTATGCCAAATGACGTTCAACTGCTAATAATGTGTGAAGGCTTTTAACAAGAGGCCATCAATGTTGCACGCCATAATAAAGATATATGTAAGTAAGTTATTAATATATTGACAGCTCCACTTATTAAAATATACAATACTATATGTATATATACAACACAATCCAGCATCTGCTTTCAATAATAATAATATTATTATAATGAATACTTTCAGCTTGGTGAAGTATGTAATTATTATTTATACTTAATAATATGTATGTATTAGGGTATGCATATTATATACTGATGATATAAAAATGGATAGTTCAAAATTAAATTCCAATCTTATAAAATAATTGTACGTCATTATAAAATTAAGGCGAAAATTAAGGTGTAAAAAATTTATTGTCATTCCTGACAATATCGATAGATAATATGTACGCATGCGAGGTGTCCTTAAAAAGTAACGATCAATATATATTAATCTTTAATATTGATTCCACCCTTCATAGGAATGTCCCTCTTATATTATGCATATATGCTACAGTAGTTTCCAATACTGTTGGCACCCCTTTTCAAATATGGTCTTGAGATCTATATGCGCTTTCGTCTTTTTCCCATCTATTGCAATATTATTCCTTATCTTTTTGAGTATGGAAAATAGGAAAACGCAAGGTTATGGTGCTATAGTAATGCTACAATATGTTTCCATACAAATTGTTGGAAAATTAATATATGCCGTATATATTACGGTAATACGAGGGCCGTTTGATAAGTCAGTGAGTTTTTAAATAAAACAAATTTATTTCGGCAAATAAACATTTTATTTTTCTACATAATCACCTATTAGCTCGAAACATTTAGTCCAGCGTTTTTCTAATTTTCTTATTCCCTTCAAATAATAGGTTTTCTCAAAGCTTTCAAAATACGCGTTTTTTTCGGTAATGATTTCTTCATTCGACTCAAATCTCTTACCGCCCAGCCATTTCTTTAGGTTTTGAAACAGAAAATCTAAATCTGGGGGGCTAAATCTGGAGAATATGCTGGTTGGGGTAGCAGTTCGTATCCCAATTCGTGGATGCTTAATTCGTAATGCTTAATTAGCACACGAAATTCACTTTCTTCCATTTTTTTTAAAAATTCACAAGGTTGTCTGCGGCTATCAAACACCAACTGAACGACGTAACTTGCTCAAAATTAAAAAGTTGCCCACTGGTAGATAACAACTGACGGCAGCACTGTTGCATTTGGAGTAACTGCACGGGAAATTCAAAAAGTCACTGACTTATCAAACCGTCCTCGTATTTATATTTGCAAGAACCTGTTTAATTTTTTCCATGGTTTTATTTTTAAAGGACACGTTAGGACGCCTAAATTCGTCGTCATCTTTAACATTTTCTAAACCAAGCATTTGTACCGTTCATAAACTTGCGGTTATGACATAATTTTATAGTTAAGACCCTCTTTAAACATTTTAAATACTAGTACCACTTTTAAAAATTTCACACTAACTCTCTCATCCGATATTTCGCCAAAAAAATTATCAACATATAATATTAAAACATATACAATTAAAACCAATTAAATGAATAAAATTGAAGACATTTTTTTTCAGTCAAGAAGTTTCAAAAAACGAATTATTTTGCTTGTTTGGAAGTGAAATTGATAACGAATAAAAGTGCTGTTAAGAATCATTATCATACTACCTTCAGTTATTTTTAAACATTTGTGAGTTATAAATATAAGTGAATTATTAACTTATCATTGTAATATACAATATCTTTTGATATTTGTTTGATATTAATAACTTTTTTATATATTTGTAATCCAATGCTTGCATGAAAACAACCATTATTTAACATAATATAAAACATATAATCAATTCTGAAAAGTATCCAATAAAAAACAAAAAAGTTAAATTTGAAGTAATAGTCTTGTTCAGAGTCACAGTGACATACGGCAATGCTATCTACTTTTGGAAGTTATTATGGCTAGAAGTTTATATATCCGCCTGTTAAATCTTCATCGTCAATTGTCATAAAATCTTTAAAGGACACAACGCTCTGCTTTATTGCCACTTTGAACCTTTAGTAGTTATTCTAGTTGTTGTTCAGGTTTGAGCTATTGCGCACTTTTACTATATTGTGGTTGGGGGACTTATCTCATACTAAGCTTTAACTATACTAGAATTATTATCGTTTATTTATCTTTTACCTGATGATGGACCGTGGATCAGTATATCTTCCTGTGCGTCCTGAGGTGGATTTAAGGTTTGTAAGGGCGGGGTTGGGCAACGTATCGACTTTCATTTTGGGGCTCAGTCCTTGATATATTTTCTCACTAAGTCGATTCTTAGATCTCCATGCATGGCTGTTATTCTAATACACCAAGGAATCTTAATTAGTCTTCTTAAAGCCAGGTTTTGTTCTAACTGTAATTGCTTTATGGCAGTATTTGAGGCTTTGCTGTATGTTACACATTCGTACAGTAGTGCTGGCCTAATTATTTGAGTATATAATAACTTTCTATTTTTGAGGTTGAAGCGATTATTATTAAACAACGGCTTTAGGAGATGTAGAATTTTACAGTAACTATTTCGTTTGCATTTCATATGTTTATACTAATTAAACCGTTTGTCAAAAGTAACCACCAGATATTTTATGCTTTCCTCCCACCATATATCCGTGATGGACCTTTAGTGTAACCACAATTAATATTTTTAATACAAATCTTTATACATTAGAAGTTGAAACAAAGCCTATACTAATATACGACGCTTTAAATGACAGTTCAGTTTATGTACCTCCATCAGTTGCAAAATTTTTTTGATTTTTACTTTGTCCGATCGGTCCTGATCCATTTGCATTTTTTATATCGAAATTTTTGGAACAGAATCGATCAAACTACAACTAGGTCTGTCGTTCACAGAATTCTCACCGTAAGCCACACAAATTTTTCGACATACTTTTACAGTAAATTTATCTTTTTTAAAACTTTTTTCACAAAATTTAGACTGAAATGTCACCTTTTAAAAACGTGTTCACTTAACATAATCGGATTAGCGATACCAGATTTATGTTTAACCCTATGTGCCACCCTATTTAGTGGCAAAAACCGCTGATACAATGCGTACGATTTGAAGATCGGCCCATATATTTCAGAATTAAAACTCAATCTCATAAATTTTAATAATTGAAAAGGACATAGACTTAAAGGAGAATAGATATTATTTAAATTTCCATGTATTTCAGAGTTAAAACTTAATCTCTTGGATTTTAATAACTGAAAAGGACGTGGACCTAAAGCAGAATATGAATGAATGAGGATATTACTATCCTACTTAGTAGTATAGTAACTCTCGATAACATTTCAGTTACTTTTCAGGTAATTAATTCGACATTTATATATTTTGAATATAAAACAAAAATATTTACAACTGAAAAGAACGTGGACTTAAAGGAGAATATGGATGAGTGGGGATATTACTATCCTACTTAGAAGTACAGTAACTCAATTACTTTCCAATTACTTTTCAGGGAATTGATTCAGCATTTATTCATTTTAAATATATATACAATAAATAAAAAACAAATTAATACAGTTTTTTTAAAAATTACATATATTTTGTTTTAATAAATATGAAATTACAATAGTAGTTTCACTAACCTAAGCAATTATTTACTTAAAATATTTTTAAAAAAATTACTATTTCTTGCTGAATAAAATATTTTGCAAATAATATATATAATCAAAAAATATTTAACAATTTAAAAGTAGTTGCTTTTTTTACATTTAGTATTTGTAATTCTATAATGATATATGTTTTAAAACAAAAAAAAAACACTATTTTCATTTATATAAGTTATACTACAATTTTATATGCATGCATTGGTTTTGGTTTAAAAATCTTGAAAATAAAAACAAAGTGGAAACTTAATACAATTACATACTGATTACAAAATTCAGCAATTTCTTCAATATATAACAGATTTTCTCTTGAAGAATAGTTCGGTTTCATAGAAATCAAAATACAAAATTCTTAAGGAGAAACACTGACTTGAAACCCCAATATTTTTACTATTTTTGTATAATTTCATTTCATTTGGTATTACTGTTAACATTTTTTTTTTTGTTGACATTTAATTTAAAAATATTTTAAATGACTTAAAAACGTTTAACATATAAACAAGAAAATATATATTAGCATTACACAAAAACAAAAAAAAAATATCTATAATAAAATGTTTGCATTTAAAGCTCATCTTTGTAATTATTCGTATATATATATATGCGACACATTTAAATAATTTGTATATAAAAATATAAAATTTGAATTAGAAATTTGCATATATTTTTCTAGTTAATTTTAAAAGCATTAATTATTTTTTAAATAATTTTTCAATACACAATTCTTTCGAATAATTTTTTATCTCTTGAAATTATTATTTTTGAAAGAAAAATATTATATAAAAATATAAATTTTAATTTTTATTATTTCCTTTTTAAATATTAAATAGTATAACTAAAATTTGAAGAGCTTGAGATAAAACTTATTAACTTGATGTATATATAATTTTGAAACAGTTTGCTTATTTGATTTTGATCTCTGCTGCAATTGAAGATTAAGACTGATGCGAAATTAATAATTATAAATTTATATATAAATTTTTTTCTTTTGTTTAAAGTGTTATTTTAAAAGACAAAATTTACAATTTTATATTTTTCATTAGAATAGTAATCTTAAATTACTTTTTTTTTAGTTTGTTTGCTTCGGTGTTTCAGCTATTGTTTTCTAGTAGTAGCAAATTTTCATATTCAGACATATACTTCTATTTTTAACTATAATTTGAATATTCTTTTTCCTAACTGATTACAAATTATAATACTTAATTAATCCTTAGAATTGTGTTAAAATATAGCATTTATATTTATTTTTTATATATTAATATTATAGTATTATCATTAATTTCCGTATTATTTTAGTTTTGTTATTTTGTTGACCCCCGATCCAAGAAATAAAAATACTATAAAATATATAATTTATGATAAAAATGGATTTGATGCTGCTGCTTCTGGCTTGATCCAAGGCATGTTGTTATTCTGTAAATAGTGCAAATAATTAATAAAATATTTTTAATAGTATATAATTATAATCTACTAATAAAAGTACTAAAAGTTAAACTTCAAAGTGCAAGTATACCATGCGAATCAAATCTACGAATATAATTTTGAAAAAGGGTAGTAAGTTGCTGTGGAATAATTATGCATGCAAAATATAAATATTTCTTATGATTCAATATTATTATCGTTTTTAGTAGTTAGTATAAGAAGTACTAGCTAAGCTACATGCATAGTAAGTATAAAGTTTACCCATTTATTTAAGCGTCCAAGCCTCCATTGTTTGCTACAAGATATAAAATATCGATAAATTCATGTTAATTGTTAATATTTTTGAACAGCATTAGGTATCTGTTTTACTGAAAGCACACAGCATTATTATTTTATATATTAATTTAAACTACATGCCAACATTTGCAGTACGTAAGAATTTCAGGAATAGCTGATCAATAATTACTAACGTTTAAAATGAAATCTGTAATAGTGATAATATGTTTATTTTATCTTTAATTATTTCCTAAACCCATACTTTTGAAACACTAATCAAATTAACTTTTATTTCAATTATAATTTTAGACCCCGATTTTAATTGATTAAAAGATTTATGCAATATTTGTTGTTTCTGTTGTTGTAACCTGTTTTAGAAGTGGCGTGTAGCAATTGGTCGTTAAAGATATGTGAGTCTGGATGGAATCATCACCTTGTACATAATTTTATATTGTACTTTGTGATAAAACAAATATAATAATAAAATATTATTTTATATATACTTATTTTTAACAAAAAAAAGGCCATATTTGGAAAACCTACCAGGATTACATCATTTATAGGGACCTTCAACCTATGCTTACATGAGAAATATCTAAACTTAACAAAAAAATAATTTAAAAATTAAAACTGAAATTCTAACTGAACATTGCAGTTTAAACCACCACCTTAAAGAATCGTTAATCGTGTGCGATGTATTTGCAGATTCTACAAAGAAGAAGTAAGTCCCGCAAAGCAAATGCTTCAGAACTGCACTGCACAAATGCCTAAATTAGGGAAGATGTCAAGATCTCTTAATCAACATTTAATTATAAACTAAAGCTTAGAAGTATAGCACAGGTACTATTATTTATTGAGAAGATAGAACTTAATGAGCTACACTAAGTCCAAGTAGGAGGTACAATACATCTCAAGATCAGGATGTGATATCCGCTGTTTATAATAAAATTTTATTAACTAATTATTAATTAGGTTTTAGCCTCATGTTGTTATCGAGAGTAGTGATACTAATCAGCAAATTTATAATAATCAATTTCGTTAAACGTTTCTGAAAACATAAATTCTTTTTATTGCAAATAATGAGTATTTAATTTACTAGCAGAATTTAAAAGAAGAGTTATCATTTGTTTTCCTTTGATCAGTTGAAGCTTACCGGATTAAGGTGTTACCGACAATATTTTTATATATTAATGGATTAGTGAAACTACAGATGTTACTTTATTCATTTAACTTTCTTTAATAATTAATCTTCATATTTAACAATATGTGAATGTTTAAAATCAAAAAAAAAATCGTAATAACTGGCGAAGCGAAGGTGCGGCGACCTCATCGTGATTGTTTGAAAATGATCCCTGAGTTTGTTTGAATTTAATTGTCTTGTTCTGATCTTTTTCATCTGTAAGTACTTCGTTCTCTTGTAGTGGGAGCTGGTGGGATTAAATGTAGGTAAGGAATTAGAAATATGAATTTCTGTATTCCAAAAGGCAAGAAGATGACGTATATGTGAATTGAAAATTTAAACTATGAATTTTTTTTTTTTTTTTGAGTACAAGAAAGTAATCAGGATTATAACTAAAAATTAGAATACCTATCCTTTAAGGAGCAAGAATGGAAATTGAAATGTGAATGGGAATTAAAATGTAAATGAGAATAAGAAATATGAAAATTTGTTTCTTGAGGACAGGAAAGTGATTAGATTCGGAATTAGAAATATGAATTTCTTACTATTAGACAGTAAGAAGATGACGAAGGATGATGAAGGTATAGTAAATATGTATTATTATTTTCAAGAGGGTAAATAACAAATAGAAATATGAAATTTTTTCTTATTGAGGGCAAAAATATAGAATTGGTATGTTCCTGAGGACAAGAAGATCACGTGAATTGGAATTAGAAATGTAATTTAAAATGTTTATAGCGCTAGATGATGAAAAAAATTAGAACAAAGCAAATTGATACCAAATTACTTAATGTCTATTTCCAATTCTTTCGTATATTCACTTTATTTGTCAGATTTGGGATCACTAGCAAAATTCTATACCATGAATTCCCATTTTAGAGTGTTATAGTAATATTTATTAGACGTTTATTGATTTGAAGACTCACCCAAAACTTGTATATAAGTTAAATATACTTAATTTTTTAATTATCCCTGAATAACAAAAAGAGAAATTAATTACTGAATGACTTGTTGACGTATTAAAGATAAATAAAGTCATCATTCTTATTAAGTTTTATAATTTTTTTTCAGTTTTAAAGCTTTAAATTAAGCAATGTTAGTTCCAAGTTTGGTCATATATATCCTCTGGAGCTTTTTGTTAATACAGACGACAAAATGTCACTCGCCACTGCTTTCAACAATAACAACAAATATTGAATTTGTTTGTATATTTTCAATAAATTATTTTTTTTTCAATAAATAACTGGGATGTAATGTTCTGAGAAATAAATTAAGCTCACTAATGAAATGCTACCTACTCTTAATTTTGGTTAAAGAAGTTTATAAATTGGGAATTTAAAATGATTCCTTTGCAAAAACATAAACTATGCTTTTATAAATGAAGTTTATAAACAATATACAATTTCTAACAAAAAGGCATAATTTAAAGTAACATCTCTATTTATAGTTTTTAATAACTTTAGTCTAAATTTTATTAATATATAGTTACCACAGAATACCTATCACAGAATTATGTGAAATGGAATGAAAAATAACAAAAACAAAATAATATACTAAAGTAAAACTTAAAAACTTAGAAAAAATCGTATAAATTAAACTGGCAACAAACGAATAGCAGAATTTGTCAAAATTTTAATTTAAACTTAACAAAAAGTTCCTCGACAAGATTTTGTACTCACATCCACATTCGATTTTGCTGTTGATGAATTGCAAGATATGCTCTGATCACAAAAGCCAATATTCAGTAAATTATTTGCTTCAACTGTTGCACTTGTTGCAATATTAAAAGCATTGTTAGTAGCTACAGTAAACGGAGAAATTTTGACACCAGGCGTCTCAGCCAGTGACGCAGATAATGCACTACTATAACTGGCTGCAAAGTTTGATTCTGCACCCGGAGAATTTGCATTTTCATTATATGCATAGATATTTCCTACAGCGCCAAAGGGCTGATTATTGTATTGATATTGCTTTTGGGCTATTGTAGTGAAGCCTAAGGGCGTTGCATATATTTCGTCATTTGAAGTAACTTGCATGTTTCTTATATTATCAACACTGTGACTAAAATTTTGATTACTATTTGCGTAATTATTGTTGTAATTATTATTCATATTATAATTGTGGTATTCGTTTCGATTATGCGCTGTATTGAAAACATCATAATCACTTCTTGAGTAGGGCATACTGCGATTTGAACTATTCAAGTTGTAGTTAGCATTTGTATTGATTAAAGTATTTGAATTTGCAACAGTAGAGCGATCAATATTCCCTTCCGCGACGTTAACATTAGGTACTTGTTGCGAATATGGCTTTGTTTTTGAGTGCAGAACACAAGTTGTATAATTAATAAAAATTTATATAAATTATAAGAAAATAGTTGTAAGTAAAGAGAGAAAAATTGAAACTAAAAGAAAAGTTTTTTTTATAAAAAAAAGACTGCAAGCAAAATGCAAAAAAACACATCAAAATTAATATACTTTTTACTAGTTCTTAAACTTACGGTTATTTCATCATTTTCAAATACAAAACATTACAATAGAACCTATTTTCCTAATCAAATATCCTTAACCAATATCATTAGTTAAACTCTATTAAAACTTACTTGGGAGTTTGCATTTGAATTGGCAACAGGTGCCCATGGATCTTGATTAACCGTCATCGTGAAAGGCTGTTGTTGTTTTAGTTGATTAATGGACGGCACCTAATGTTTAAATAAAAATATATCAAATATAATAAACGATTAAATATATATAATACTATGTTTACATTTCACATTTATCTTGAGTCGCTATAAACTATAATAGTTATTTGTAATTATATATGGCTATGGCTTAGACGATAACACAGCAAGTAAGTTTATGTGATTGGAACAACACTAGTCAAGTACGGCGTAGGGTCAGTTGTTGAAAGCGTAACTCTATGTGGCAAATTTGGCAGGGAACAACGTCCACCCCTGTTACTTGCAGTGTAACAACTATATATAAACAATTAAATTAAAAAATATTTTCAAAGACCACTGATGGTAGGCACATTGTGAAATACCGAAACAGTTCTAAGGTCAGCCTATGTTGTGTTCACTACTATTTCATATTTTTTTTTTAGAAAACAGCCTCTCCACATGTTTGATATTAATTTACTTGTAATTTGTTTTAGTTTGAATTAATTTTTTAATATTTTCTGTTTCATTAGAATTGAATTATAATATATTAAACTGGTTTTGTATAAACGCGCTGAGTAACCCGCTGAGATCTGCTTGTAAAGTCCCTTTGGGAGGTGTTGAACGGCACTTAACCCGGCCGTTCTTGAAACCATTTTTTTTATTCTATATATTCTATATTATAAGTTTTTTCACGTCTATATTTTTGTTTAAAATTAATTTTTTTTTTTGAAATTTGTTTTGTTAACATTTGTTACCATTATTGCCACATTCGAGGCTATTCCTAAACCAAAGCTTTTTGTATCTCGTACATTTTTGCATCGATTTTAAATGTCTAAATACTACACACTTATCGAGATAAATCCGTTAAATGTGATAATGTAAACATAATATAAGAGAAACATACTGCTGGTTGCTGTTGTTGGAATAGATTTGTTTTGGGTGGTAAAACCGTATCACTGAATGGATTATAAGCCATATTGCCCGTTTGTCCTTGTGGTGCTACTGGTTTTATTAAATTATCCAAATTAACTAAAGCGGAGTTTTCTCCCAAAAATGCTTGGGGATTTTTAAGCGGTTTTTTAGAATTCGTTAAGGACAATGATGAAGCTGTATTTCTTGTCGACAAAGGATCCATTTCATCTAAAAGAGAAGCTATAAATATAAATTAAAACACATGACATGCCAACCTTAATTATTTTTTTTTATTTTGTAAGCTACTTACAATTGTTATTATTAGGGCCACTAATTGAATTATTAGTCAATATATCTCCAGTCTTATTGCGGTTAGTTATTATATCGAATTCATCCATGTCTGGCGAAGGTTTCTAAAAAAATTTTATAATTATCGTTTATTTAAAAGACCAAAAAATAGTTGCATTTTATAGAATTTTTCGGGATTTTGGTTAATTTTATTTTTAATTTAAAACAAAAAATGTTAGTTCTATTAAACTTAAAAGTCAACAAAACCCAAATTGTATTAAAATTTATTAGAAGATTTATTGAAATTATAGAATTTATACGAAAAAATTTATTAGAATTTTAGAGTTAAAAAATTAAAACTAAGCACTTTTCTTATATTAATAATATTTTTTTTCATGAACAAAATATAAAGCCTTTAATAAAAATCTCTAATATAATTGATTAATTGAAATGAAGATATCATTTATCAGAATTAAATCAATTTTTTTTAAATAAATATTTAAAAAAAATTAAATAAATATTTAAAAAAAATTAGTAATGTATGCTAATTAGTATTTAAAAAAAAATTAGTAATGTATTTTATAATATATATTTCTATTGTATTCTGAACTCACTTTAATGTAAAATAATACATAGCTCTTAAAAAGATGTACTTCTCCTTATAATATGATTGGACAAATTCACTTGAATAAGGAATGTCAACTATATCAGTTTCTATATAATCGTCAGTTACACTCTCTTATATTTACATTATATACATCCAAATATTAACAAAATGTTATTCTGTATTTAATCTCTTTGATATATACCTAATCTTAATTCTTATTTTATATCTTTTTAGAACCACATTGAAGCGTCTTTGGACCACCTTAAATAGCATTTGTCAAAAAAAATTGTTAGTGGATCCGGAAAACCAACCTATCCTATAGATATAAATATACTAAGATTGTATTACCTTCCTAAATGAATTATATTTACTATTAAAATATGAAATAAACCATGTTTATTGATAGAAACTACTATTGCTTTCAATAGAGAAATATTACAGTACAGTAGTGAATTACAACAACAAAATTTTATTATTTATTAATTAAATGAATTATGGTTGACCATACTGATGTTTCGAGTATTGCCAAATATCCATTATCAGTGGTCCTTTGGAAATATCTCTTGTATTTAATTATTTGTAAATAATTTTTTGAAACTGGAAGTACCAAGAGTTAAACTCGTGCTCTAGCATATTTGAAGCTGAGAATCAGTGTTAATTATCAAACTGATCCAAAGCAAAAATCTACTTGTATGTTCTAAATTGTAGTTTTGTTAATTTACAGCAAATGTTCATTAACAAATTTGCTTCCTTTATTATATTAGAACGAAACCATAAAGCTGCTATAGAATAATTGAATTAATTAATTATAGTTATTGTTAATTGTTAAATTTAATTCAACTTACTGCTAAAAAAAGCATATCTACATTCTTGCAGCTCTAAAAATTAACTTTCAATATATATTATTAATATTAAACGTATAACATCAAATGCTTCAGTTAATCAATATAATAGTTAATACTTTTAATTACAAACACTTTTAATAAATAAATAAATATTAACAACTAAATAAACATTCGCATTACCTTTACAATAGGGTTATCCATATTTTTCCAGGGATCTTCAACATTTGCTTTCGGTGCCCAAGGATCGGCTAAAGTTAAATTTTTAGCTGAAGCTGGAGCAGCAGCACCGGGTCTAACACCATCAGATAACCACGGATCCGAAGATGGGTTCGGTGGTACAGCTGCAACAGTTGCAACAGTTGTTTTTGAAATCCAAGATTCAGTTGGCATAGCTGTTGCACCCAGTACATTAGCATTACCGTTGAGGCCAGCACCGTTACTATGAAGCCAACCTTCTGTTGATGATCCTGACGCCACTGATGGTGATTGCGTACGCAATGCCCAAGCATCGCCATTCATACCCATTACATTACCACCACCAACAGCACCAAGTGGTGCAGTATTAGATCGCATGCCCGCTGGTTGCCAAGGATCAATTGGTGGTGATGATGTACCAGACCATGGGTCAGATAGCTAAAAATAATTACGATAT